GGCCCCGCGGAGCCAGCGCCTCTGCCCGCCAGCCCACGGGAAGATAAATGTCCACCTCCCAGCCTGGATTTAAGCAGGGGAAGGCCAATAAAAGGTTGTTATTTCCGCTCGCCCGCTTTATCTAAAACAGCCAGACAAAACAAATGAAAAGGCTTTTGTAGAAAATCTTAATTGTGGCTGGACAGTTGTAAACTCATTAAGAGCCGAATTCCAGACAGTTTGCAGACCCGTCATTTATTACACACTCTTAATGCTGATTCTTTGAAGTTGCCTCTGTCTGCAACAACAGAGGGCGTCCCAGCATCCCCAAATACTGGCTCAGGGATCAATTAGGGGCTTTTTGTGTGTGTGCACACCAGAACGAGCTCCCTTTTGCTAATTAGAACTCATCAAATCTTACCCCGGATTTCTTGCTTGCTTGCTTGCTTGCTTTTTTTTTTTTTTTTTCAAGGTGAAGCCTAAAGCATTTTTTTTTCCTCCCGCAGTTCTGCACATCTGTAAACTTCTTGCCGGCTCCCTAAGTTTTGTCTTCAGCCCTGCAGCGTTTTACACCCCATAAACGGTTACAGCAGTCATTTTCTTTTATTGCGCTGTATGGCTCTGAATTTTCCTAACAACAACTTCTGCCAAGACCATAACTGTGTTCCGTCTTATTTTGCTTTAAATACCTATATGTATGTAAGCGTATCTCGGTAAAACAAGAAGGCTTTTAGTGTTATTCGACATATTTGCAAACAAGGGTCGGTGTGGTGCAGAAGTGTGCTGCGGTTCATATTATGGAGGATATCTACTCTGAGCAGTAAGATGTCCGCCCAAAACAAGGGTAAATTTCAGCAAGCTCACAGACTTCGCTATTTTCTTTTGTTGCTGAGCTTGGTTTGGCTTGGGGCGGCGGGGGAGGGGTGGGTGCAAGGGGTGTGTGTGTGGAAATCTTCCACTCCAAAGAAACCTTCTTTCTGTTTTTAAAAATAAATCCTATTTTGTCTTCTTTGCTCCAGCCTGCTGCCAGCCCAGCTCTTTCCTTCGGCTAAATCAGAGAGTAAAATTGACACCATAAATTCTACCGTAATTGTCAGTAAAATTTTATCTGTATCTATATCTATCTATACATACATATATAATCCGAGGCGCTAGTAAAATGCAAGGGGTTGTTTTTATTTGCCACGGGACATTTAAAAGAGAAAAAAAAATCCCGAACGTGAAGGCACGGGAAGGAAAAAAATGGGTGGCGTTTGAAATAACATATTTTGCATGGGCAATTATCTCTGGAAGGGAATTTAAAATGAACGCGCTGGTAAGGCGACCCTCAGTGCTGGACATTTTCTGGTGGAGGCTAATTAACCATCTCAATTTAAATGTCGCTG